GAGTATAGGAATGGAGTTAGAGTTCGGGACCCCTGGAGGGCTAGAACAGTATGTTCGGGAGAGATTCTCAGGAAAGAGAGTTCGAGTTGATGTATGTTAGTCTGAGCGGTCCGGGGAGACTGAAGGCCGATGGGCATACCAGTCAGGCTGAAGGCTTAGAGAACGGTCCAGACAGGCTGAAGGCCCTGGAAGGCGGTCCAGACATGCTGAAGGTTTTGAGAGTGGTGCAGATAAACTGGCCTGGTAAGGCAGTCTAGTTGTGTTGAATACTTTGTATGTGTTGATAGATCCGTATGAGGAGATGAATTGAGCACGTTGTGATGAAATAGGTAGGTCTGACCCTGGGTATTCATCATGTTAGTGGAAGGCAGTGTGAGGACCTGAGAGTCCTAGTGAGCAGATCCAGAGCATGTGTAATGCGTGAAGTAGCAGTTACTCTACAAGAGATAATGTAGAGTGGGGGTGTGAGCACCGTGGTACTTGCTTGAAGTAGCAAAGTTGGTTGGTAGATTTCCTTGGTTAAGGAAGGGTATGTAGCTCCGGGAGGAAGTGTTGATTCACAGAAGTGTGAGCAGTAGTGAGAAAGGATGATTGGAAGTATTTCAGGATGGTTATTGGGCATTATGTTGTGCCAATGATATGGAAGTACATCTGGGTTGGATGTCGGTTGGAATCACGAAAGGGTTTCCAGTAATGAAGAACCAGAGGAGTTCAGAAGGGATGCAAGGCTGGAGTCTTGGATTCTCAATATGATTGTGATCAGGAGGTTATGTATGTAGTGGAAGTTCATCCTGGGGGATGTATGGAGGTACAATCAGTGTGTTGGGCTCCCAACCCGAGGATGCTATAGCAGGGTCAGCACATTTATGCGATTGCAGAAGAGAGCTCATGAGAGTGCTCGAGAGCTGAAGGATATATCACCCTGTCAGCATGAAAAGAGTAGAGTCAAATTCGGAAAGGAAGACGGATAAGTCCCAACAGTGAACTCGATAAGGTTGTGTTAATCGAGGCAAGGGATAACAGTTGGTAGCAGTAAGTACCCGGTCAGAACTCGATGGTTCAGGGTATTATCTAGTCTTGCGAGAGGCAAGTGTATATGGAGAACAAGAGGGGCCGATTTTCGGCTTGAGACACCCACATAAAAGTATTTAAAAGCATGTAAGAGCATTTAAAAGGTTGTTTAAGGGGTATGAACTCACCTGAAGTGAGTAGCTTATTCGGAAGTGTCGGACAAGGTGCTAGTTGTCAAGTAAGGACTTGAACACACACGATGATCCTAGTTATCATATAATAAACATATATGTATCTATTTAGTCATTTAACAACTAATTAATCAAGTTAAGACACCCTAGGACATGGAAACACTTTGCTTCAAGTGATATAGGTACCAAAGGGTTGCATCTAAAGGTTGTATGGCATGTCATTGGAGTTTACGGCCCAAGGACCACTCCTTATGGAGTTTACGGCCCATGACCATTTCCCCATGAGTTTATGGCCATAAAATCATGGTACTAAGTGCCATTTTGTGTTTTGAGGTCTTATAAGTCATGATTGCACATCAAATGATCAAGTCCAAGCCTTAGGAAAGTATTAGGGGCACATTAAGACCATCTTGTGGAGTTTACGGCCACTGGACCATATCCTTATGTGTTCACGGTCATAAACTCTCATGGGGACTAGTTTGGATTGTTTTTTAAGGTCTTAAACACTTCTAGGAATGATCAAGGTTGGCATCCAAGGCTTAGGAAGGGTTTAAGGTCCATTTAACCACCTTAAGAGGGGTTTATGGCCCAAGAACATCCTTTGCCATAAACTCCCTTGTTCTTATGATTCTTGATGATTTTCAAGTGTTATCAAGTTCATATTAAGCATACAAGAAGCTAGGGTAAGTGTACTTACAAGATAGAAGCTTGTTTGGGTGTTTAAGGTCCAAGAACACTAGTGTGTGTTCTTTGTGTTTTGAAGAACACTTGAAGATCTAGTTAAAAGAAATAATTAATGGATGAAATGATGTATAACAACTAGATGTTAGGTTATAACAACAAATCAAGTCAAGAAACACTTACATTTTCGGAAGATCGGGTGAAGAACGTTATGCTAGTTGAGAGAGAATGGGGAGTAAACTAGAAGGTGGAAGTGGGAAATGAACCAATTGGGGAGTAAACTCATGTCTAAAACATGAGTTCATGGACAAGATAGAGTTCACGGCCCAAAATCCCTTTATTTGGCCGTGAACACCTAGCTAAGGTGTTGTTTGTTCCATTGCTATCTCGATATTCCCGAAATCACTTCCTTTTATCCGTTCGATTCATGAATAATTAATAAAACTACTCAAACGGACTTTAAAACGGCTAAAAATTAGTAGAAATATAATTGACTTTGAATTGAAGTAATTGACTTTAGAGTTTGTACGAATAAAAATTTCGGGTTGTCACAGCTAACAGTCACACAACCAATTCTACAACACGCCTAGCAAATCAAACAAGGTTCAACCTTAGTCTATACTCTATAACTAGCACTTTGACCAAAAGTTAATCTAGGTGAAAAAGTCAATGGTTAAAGTCAAATGTCCAAGTCAACTTCCTAGATTTACCATGTTGTGGCCTCCTATTGGTCATGTTGTGGCATGATAAGGACAAAATACTTGCGTATCCCCTAGTTGCCACATCGTGACAACCAAGATGCCACGTCATGAAATTGGGTCAAAAAAACTTAATGGATTAAGCCATTTTCCATCCATTACGTAAGCTCCAAATCTTAGATATGACTCTTCCCAAGGCCTTGATGGATAAAGTTCCCAACTTTATCCATGAAGACATCCCAATAAGACAAGATCTCTAAACCTAAGTCCTTAATGGCTACTTATGGCATAAAGTCAACCATTAAGCACTTAATCCTTAAAGTATCAATTCCAAAACTTCTAGAAGGGTTCTAGGGCCACAATAATCCCTAAAAGTGTAAGCTTTATGCTAGGAAAAACATATATGAGTTAAGGAAATAGGGATACACTAGTTATGTATTCCATAAACATTCACTCAAAAGAATTCCCGCACAATATATAATCATTTAAAGCCATTCATGCATTTCAACAAACACCTTAAATTTAATATACATAACTAAAATTAAATGTGTTGCAGAAAACCAGAATAAATCACAAACAGTAGAGACTCATGTGATGTAGGGAGAATTCCATGCCTATTTGTTCTACATTCACCAAGACTTACGTCTTGCAAAGTAGGGCCCTTGACTGATGTTTTTTTGTTTCTTATTATTAAAGAAGCAAAAAATAAACATACAACAACCAAACATGCAATAAACATGAGTTAAAGAATGTTACGAAAAGTTCAACTATTATAACAATAATTTGTTAGTACTAAACCATATGAAAAAAATAAAGGTATACAAATTGGTTGCTTAAAACACATTTATGTTGAAAGGATGCCACACAAACAACCGCACACGCATTCAAAACAAACGAATATGCACACAAATCTCATATAGAATAAGAAGAAACACGATTACTAACCTAAAATGAGTGGGTTGATTAGAATAATCTTCAAATCCATGCCAGACTGGATGTACTTAATTTGATGCCGAATGTTCTTAATTTGATGATTATGTCGAGAGAGACATTATTCAAAGAGATAGGTGACGAAGTCTATGAGTATTGTTTATAGCGAGTTACACAACTTGATAGTCGTTGAATATTGTTTATAGAAGCAACAAAAGCCCAAACTGGCAACAAAACTGATGTTATCACTTTAGTATACTAAATGAAACAATCAACTAGAGAGAAGAAGAATCGAAACACAAGGATAAACACGGTTGCAAGAAAATAAGATGAAAAGGAAGAAGAAAAAAAGTTGATTTACCTTTCTATGTGATTAAGCCGCCTCTCTATCTACAACCTGAAAAAGAGAGCAGATGTGATTTTAGGTTTATTCAAATTCTTACATTCAAAACAAACATAATTTTGAGGGGATAATGAGAAACAACAACATCAAAGTGGATTAAATCAACCGACATCTTCATTTGTCGAAATCATGCCATCAAATCAAAAAAAACAAGAATGCATACTTAAAAATCGAGAAACAATATTAAATGTGCTTACTGGTTCAAGAAAAACCACATGTTTGGTTGAAGCTGTATATGTAACAAATTGAAACATGTGTTCGAGGTATATATGACGTGGAAAGAAGCCCTAGTCCATCGATTTCAAATTTAGATAAACTTATATTCCTGATTGGCAAAAAATAAAAAATAAAATATTTATTTCAAAAGTGGTTAAAGCGAATTCAAATTTGAAATTTTCAATGCCAACAATCAATGGATTAGATAAGAAAAATATGATAGAAAAACAAGAAAAGAATTAATATCAGATTTAATACATTGAGAGGAATATAATATCATGGTGGAAGAGATTATATCGAAGGGCAAAGCCTGAATTTAACATAAATGTTTTGAGCGGGAAAATTCGTAAGGGGTGTCCAATTATTGTCATGTGGCAACTGGTACTCTTTTATTAGGGTAGAAGATTTCGAAAATGCTATTATGATAAGATTTTATATTTTTAAAAGTTTAAATTGAAGTTGATTTGTTACTAGAAGAAAAAAAATATAAATCATAGAAAACTGATACGTGTGGAAGAGACATCCTATAAAATAAATATGTTATTTTTAAGTTTCATTTATTTAGGATTGGTAGAGGTTGATGTGTGTATTATGTTTTTTCCGTTAAAAAAAAATATAAAAAATAAAAAAATAAAAAAATAATAAATAATAATAAAAAAACAACTCACTAATATTTGTTATCAAATTTTAATAAACAAAACTAATAAATAATGAGGATAAGAATGTAAATAAAAATTAAATTCATAAATAAATAAATTTTAAACATTTTATATAAACCAAAAGATGTCTTGCAACCGGTACCATTACGAGACTTGATTTAGCAACTCCCACACTCATCCACTCTTTTAACGTCAGCACCACCGCGGTCAAATGGAGACTATAGTTCTGTACCTATCCCCAGGGATGGGCCATCTCATATCAATGGTAGAGCTCGAAAAACTTATCCACAAACACCATCCTTCCTTCTCTATCATCGTCCTCACACTCATCCCCTCTTTGAACACCGGCACCACCGCCTCTGATGTCCACAACATCTCTGCCACCTTCCCTGCCATCACTTTTCACCATCTTCCTGATATCCCTATTGATCCCCAACTTTACTCCTCTATGGAAGCCATCACCATTGAGCTTTCTCGACTTAGCGCTCCGAACATCAAGAATGCTTTACAGTCCATTTCTCTCTCCTCTCACATTACATGTAATGTAATGTCTGTGGCTACTAACTTCAACATTCCTGTATACTACTTTTCAACTTCTAGTGCATGTTTTCTTCAGCTACTCATAAACTTTCCGACACTTCATGGAACCTCGACCGGAAGTTTCAAAGATATGAAAACACTTTTCCAGTTGCCGGGGATTCCCCCGATAGCCTCGTCCGAGATGCCAGACCCACTTCTTGATAGAACGTCTACTGTTTATTCATACTTTCTTAAAATCAGTGAGAACATAGCCAGATCAAATGGGATTCTTGTCAACACATTTGAATCGCTAGAACCAAAAGTGATTAACGCAATGACTAACGGTTTGTTTGCGACAGATATTCCAGCTGCGCCACCAATTTAATTACTGCATCGGACCGCTGGTTGCTGCCGATGCTGATGATTCTCGTGCATGTTTGAATTGGCTAGATTCTCAACCAAGTAAAAGTGTTGTTAATTTGTGTTTTGGAAGTTTAGGTTTGTTTTCAAGTGATCAGTTAAAGGAGATCGCCATCGGGCTTGAGATGACTGGACATCGATTTCTATGGGTGGTACGAAGCCCACCGTCGAACAATACGGAGGACCGTTTTCTGCCACTACCGGAACCAGATTTAAATTTGCTACTTCCAGAAGGTTTCTTGGATTGTACAAAAGATAGAGGATTTGTAGCAAAGAATTGGGTGCCACAAGTGGCGGTTCTCAGCCACAAGTCTGTGGGTGGGTTTGTGACTCATTGCGGGTGGAACTCGGTGTTTGAAGCAGCATGTACGGGTGTCCCGATGGTTGCTTGGCCGCTTTATGTAGAACATAGGTTTAATAAGGTGGTGTTAGTGGAGGAAATGAAGTTGGCTCTACCGATGGATGAGTCAGACGGTAGGAGGGTGGCGGCGACAGAGGTGGAGAAGAGGGTAGAGCAGTTGATGGAATCGGAGGAAGGGAAAGCAGTTAGGTCGATGGCAATGAAAAGAAAAGAGGATGGTGAAAAGGCAATGAGTAACGATGGGTCATCTCGTGTTACATTGTACAAATTAGTTGCATCATGGTTGTGAGAAGGGAAAATGACTTGAGAGGGTAAGTTACTTTTTGAAATGTACACATTTCGTCTTTATTTATTTATTTATTTATTTTTGTAAATTAAGCCCTTATATTTTATTAATATGTACACAATAGATCCTTCTGACCGGCTTCTATCGGTTCTGCTGATGTGGAAGCACACGTGGCTAAACAACAACTGCATAAAAATTAATTAGCTTAGTCACTCCTTATAAAAGAATGTTAACATCCAAAATCAGGAAGAATTCCCTTCAAACTCGAACACATAGAAGTGGGGATTTCGTAGAAGAAGAAAGAAGATGTCAAGTGGTTCAAGAATCTCCACAGGTTCAAGCAATCAGAGAGTAGATAAGGACGTCCTCTGTGATTGTGAACTCCCTTTAAGAATTCGTACCTCCAAGACCAAAGATAACCCTGGAAAGAAATTCCAAGTGTGCCCTAACTCATTGGTAAATACCTAAATTGATTTTATTTTTCAAATCGAATCAATTTTCTTCTTCTTTCCTTCTATGTTATTGATTTTATTACTACAGAAACCAGGGAAAAAGTGTAAATTTTGGGAATGGATTGATGAAGAACCTGAGAATATGAAGGCCATTGCACAAGATACTCTTTCAGTTTGTCATATTATTTTAAAGAAGTTTTAGAGGATGTGGCATCTATTAGAGAAGAAGTGAAACAGTTGAAGGTTATGATTCAGATACTGATACTGCTGGTCATTGTTAAGGTTATGCTTTGGGGTTCATGATATGCTTCTGGTGGTTTTTATGGGATTTTAATGTAATAGACTTGTTGTGTAATTCTTGTTTATGTAATGGATGTTGATTTACTTTATGTTTATGTAATGGTTGTTGATGTACTTTATGTTTATGTAATGGTAAAGTTTATTGTTGTTATATATAGATGTTGATGTAATTAACTCAGTCAAATGGAGATAAAACCAAGACAAATTACAGGAAAGATTCTTTTATAGAGAATTGGATGTATAGACAAATAAAAGTGGATGACAAAATGCATCAAGCCATTTAATAATTACAAAAGATAAGCCCACCAGCATGGGTAATATAGTAATTTAGTTCAAAAGATTCGACAAGTACATCAAAAGTAAACAACTAGTGGGGGTAATATAGTAATTAAGTTCAAAAGATTAACCCACACTACATCAATATATATATATATATATATATATATATGTGTGTGTGTGTGTGTGTGTGTGTGACATCCCCAAAATCTCGGCCAGAAAAGACCGATTTCATTTATGCTTTTTAAAATAATTTCAGAGTAAATCCTTTTAATTTTAAAAGAGATGCCGAATTTGTTACCAAAAATAAAACATGATAAAATAGATATTTATCAAAACATTTTATAAAGAAAAATAATTTCATTTCATAATCAAAAGTCGGGATGTCATGTTCCGATACAGATCATAAAGCATAAACGATAGCATTACAAGTCATTCAACAAATATATACATATACAGACTTGTAAACAAAACAACTTGATGATTCGCCTATCTTAAGCTCTTGCGCCACTTCCTGTAATACAAATAAACTGAGTGGGTTAGGCTTGGGAGCCTGGTGAGCATATAGGGATTTCAACCCACAATAAATAATTATATTTAATTCAACAATCAACAATAAACCCGATTACCCATTCCTGTTATCCTCACTTTCCGTCCCTAAAAATAACATCTATTATAAGGAACCTAATTCAGGATTTTCATCGGGACGGACATTACTGCAGAGGGGCTTCCTCAACAATGAGTGTGCTAAAGGCAACCATGTGGGGGATAGAGTACACCAGTGAACACGTCGTTCACAACACCTACAGGTAATGAGCCTGCTAGTGTTCCACAGGACAGTCTAGAATAGTCCATGGTCGTCATCCATACTCTACTGAATGATTATAATAACACCAATAACACCGAGACCTCTCATTTGTTTATTACACACCAATTATCTACCCATGTTCTACCCAACATATTAGTAGATAAAAATATACATTTTTATACATTGTTTAAAAACCTGTATAGCTTGCTTTAATCAATACATATTCCACATAACAAATGAGGCATACACAAATAACATGTATTTCATAGAGAATACATCAGATCTATAAGATACAAGAGAGTGAATATACACTCACACGTATAACAACAAAATATATATACATAACCCGTATTTTATATAAAATACTTCATAATATTTCATTGGAATGAAAATAACTACACATTCACTTGATCAGAAGATGATCAGACAGCACTACGGCTTGCAGACGAGGCGTTTCTCTGTAGATCTGGAAGATCTTCACAAAAACCGGCTCCTCGCGGGCAGAGCTTCGGCTCGGGAATAACGCTCTTCAGGATCCTCGGGGCTTCAAATCTTACTTCGGGTCTTGGAAATATTACCGGGGCTTTGGGGTACAAACGGCACGCAAATCGAGGAAAACAAGAGAGAGGAAAGAGTTTGAACAAGAGAAAATGGCTTATCTTGGTTTCTATTTATAAGTTGGGGGTCTGGGATTTTGTTGGGAGTAAATTGGTTACGCTGGGCGTACTTTGACGTCACTGCATGCGTCGATCGGTGGCACTCGAGTATTGGTCAGACAAGTTGCCTCCTCCTAAGTACGTTGGGCGTACTCAAATTACGCTCAACGTAATTTGACTTGTCGAACTTCTAAATTGCGTAACTTTTGCATATGAGCTCCGTTTTCGATGTTCTTTATATCCACGCGTAGGTCAGACCATACTCTACAACTTTCATTTAGACACCGTCGGCTAATTTTGAATTTTATTTTTATTATTTATTTTTAGAAGGCCGGGACAGAAAAACTTCGTTATAAATTCATAACTTCTTCATCTGGCGTCCGTTCTCGCCTAACTTTTCATCGTTTCGCTACTAACAATGAGATCTTCGATTCTCGTTTAGATTGTTTCGGCTAAAAACCGCTCGATTTCAAATCGAGTATTCGGGCTGCATACTGCCACGTCGAAACTTCAGAAAATCATAACTTCCTCATACGAAGTCAGATTTGGGTGTTCTATATATATTCGGAAACCTCGTTTCAACTACTACAACATTATCCAATGATATCAAGTTTATTTTACACTTCAATTTTGACGCTCATTTTATTCTTAATTAATCATATCACACAATTAAGCAATTAAGCACAAAACACATAATACTCAAATAATACGTTCTTATTATTTCAAATTGGGGTTACAAAGGTTAACCTAGACTACTACATTGCTAAAAATGGCAAGACCAGAAACATGGGCGTTACAATTCTCCCCACCTTAGGATGATTCCGTCCCCGGAGTCACACATCAGCAAACAAATGCGGATAGCGACTCCTCATGTCACTCTCCGTCTCCCAGGTGAGATTTGGACCATTCGTGTGTTTCCATCGGACAAGCACTAACTCGACTATCTTGCGTCGCAACTTCTTAGTCTTTCGGTCAACGATTGCCTCTGGTTCTTCAATCAACCTTTTGTTCTCATCGATTCTCAACTCCAGAAGTGGAATCATGTCAGGAACTTCTCCCATGAACTTCCTCAAATAACACACATGGAAAGTGTTATGAATTCCATTCAGTTCTTCTGGTAGTTCGAGCTTGTAAGTTTGGTTCCCAATCCTCTGAAGAACTTTAAACGGTCCAGTAAACCTTGGACTTAATTTTTCCCTTATAGCAAATCTTGTAAGTCCCTTCCACGGCGAGACTTTAAGCAAAACTGAATCTCTAACTTCAAAAGTCATCGGTCTTCGCTTGTTGTCAGCATAGCTCTTTTGATGATCCTGAGCTGCTAACATTCTTTCCCTAATTATTTTCAATTTTTCAGCAGTTTGATGAACCAACTCGGGTCTCATAAACTGCTTATCCCCAGCCTCAACCCAACAAGATGGCATACGACACTTATGCCCGTACAAGGCCTGATAAGGTGTCATCTTAATGCTCGAGTGGAAACTATTATTGTAGGGAAATTCTACCAAAGGTAAATGTTCATCCGAATTACCTTGGAATTCTAAGGTACATGCTCTTAGCATATCTTCAAGTGTTTGTATTGTTCGTTCGCTCTGACCATCAGTCTGCGGATAGTAAGCTGTACTTAAACACAACTTGGTACCCAATTCCTCTTGTAGACTTTTCCAAAATCTTGAGGTGAAACGACTATTACGATCCGATACAATTGTTAGCAGAACACCGTGAAGTCTCACAATTTCCTTCACATAAGAATTCGCAAGCTTTTCCATAGACCATTTCTTCGTGGCTTCTATGAAATGTGCACTCTTCGATCGACGACCACCCAAATCATGTCGTGACCATTCTTTGTTCTGGGCAGTTTAGTGACAAAATCCATAGCAATGTCTTCCCACTTACCCATAGGCGCAGGCAATGGTTCTAAACTCCCGTACGGTTTTTGATGTTGTGTCTTGACTCTCGCACAAGTCACACACTCCGCCACATACTTCTCAATGTCAAGCTTCATCGTCGGCCACCAGTAGTAGGGTTTCACGTCCCTATACATTTTAGTGCTACCGGGATGAATCGAGTACATGGTCTTGTGAGCTTCTTCCATCAGAAGATCTCTGACTCCTCCAGTCTTAGGTATCCAAATCCGATCCTGGAACACCTTCAATCCATGACTGTTTACACCGAACACCAACGTTTTGCCCACACGTTCCTCCTTCCGGTCATTCTTCTCAGAAGCTTCGCTTTGAGCTTTCTATATACTTTCCAAAATAGTCGAGACAACTTCAATTCTCAACGCTCTTGGCCATTTTGTTTCAAGATTGACTTTTCCGATTGAGAGCATCAGCAACAACATTTGCTTTACCAGGGTGGTAAAGTATCTCACAGTCGTAGTCTTTAAGTAATTCTAGCCAACGTCATTGCCTCATATTCAATTCCTTCTGATTAAATAGATATTGGGGACTCTTATGATCAGTGAAAAGGTTGCACATTGTGCCATAGAGGTAATGCCTCCATATTTTCAGA